ACCCAAACTTTTTGATTTCTTAAACTCACCTATGAGTCATACCCTAAATTTTGTTATTACTAATAACAAATTGATATTGTTTGTGCAATGAGATCACCCTCTGTGATCTCCTTTTTGCACATTTCATGTTCTGATCACTGCATCCTATCTTTTTTAGCTCATTCCCTTTAGAGACCCTTTAATGCCACATATGTCCTCAAATCCAGTGATCCTTCTATCCCTCATGCTTTGGACATAGCCAGCTTAAATTTCATAGTCAATCATTACAAACACTCCTTTGCATAAACCTTTGACTCACTTCTCTCTTTTGCTTCCTCACACTCACTTGATAAAACCAAAACCCTGATTATGTTAAACTCACTCTCTACTCTGCATGTGTATTTGTGCAGCTGAACAATGGATAGAGCAAAATGCACAACCAAGCTGACTGGCTCACTTTAAATGCATGACCACAAACCTCAACTGGACCCTATGGATTGTCAGACAATCTTACTACATGTCCCTAGTCAACTCATTCTCACCATCTCCTGTAGTATCATTTCACTCCTCCTCTCCTCAAACCCTCAAATCCTCATTCCCAAACTTATTCTCAGCAGATGCTCTTGCTTCCTACTTCACAGGAAAATGGAAGTAATCAGAAGGGAACACCCAAAGACTCTCACTGCATACCTACTCAGATCTCAGCATCTGCACTCACATACTCTACTTTTCAGTCTGTTGAATTATTTATGCTTCCATCTCAAGCACATCTCTTCTCCACTTAGCACAAACTCCTTTCACCTATCTTACTCCAGCAATGCTCCACACCCCTCCTTGTTTTTAAAGTGGAAGAGATAACAGCAAAATTGTATCCTGGTGGGAATAATAGAGTAGCATGTAAACATTAGAGATAAAGGCAAGTGGGTGCAGGAGAGAAAATGGGGAGATATAGGTCAAAGGATACAATGTAGCAGATATTTCAGATGAACAAACCTAGAGATCTAATGTGCAACATGAGGATTATAGTTAGTTATACTGTATTGTATTTGGGATTTTTTTTTTTTTTTATAAAGATGACTGGTAAGGGGATCTTAACCCTTGACTTGGTGTTGTCAGCACCACGCTCACCCAGTGAGCTAACCGGCCATACCTATATGGGATCCGAACTTGTGTCCTTTGTATTATCAGCACCACACTCTCCTGAGTGAGCCACAGGCCGGCCCCTGTATTTGGGATTTTTGCTAAGAGTAGATTTTAGGTGCTCTTGTCACCAAAAAAAAAAAGGGGGGGGGTGATTGTGAGATGATGGATATGTTAATTTGCTTGACTGTAGTAACCATTTCACTACCTACATGTATCCCAAAACATCATGTTGTACACCTTAAATACATACAACAAAATTTATGAAAAAGGAAACAAACATTTCTCTTGACTCCACATCCCAGGAGTTAGTTCACTCCCTCCCTTTTCTTGCTTCACATTGCAGGCAAATCCCTTCAAAGATTTGCTCTCTAATTCCTTTCCTCCTATTCTTTCTTAAACCCACTCCATCCGGTATTTTGCCCCCATAACTCCTTCAAAACTGCTGGGGTCAAGATCACCAATAACCTCCATGTTGCTAAATGCAAGGGTCAATTCTCAATCTTCATCCTACTTGATTTAGCAGCAGTATTTGACACAGCTAATCACTTTCCTCTTGATAAGCTTTCTTCACTTGGCTTCAAGGACAACACACTCTCTCGGTTGAAGTTTATTGAGAAACATTGAATTTATAAAAGTCTGTGGATCTAAAATGGTACTCAAAAAAAGAAAAAGCCTGGACAAATTCATTTTCAAAATGAAAATGAATTTTTCAAAAGCTAACCATGGTCTGAAAATATTAAATGGAAAATTCCAGAAATAAACAATTCATAAGTTTTAAATTGTAAACTCTTCTGAGTAGCCAGATGAAATCTTGCACAGTCTCACTCTATTCGCCTAGGCCATGAATCATCCATCCCTTTGTCCAGCATATCTGCACTGTATATGCTGTATCGACATCATCAGCTTGACATCCAACCTTCCACATTGTCATGGCTCTAAGATCCAGGATCACCTGAAGCAGATGATCCTCCTTCTGACATATCATCAGAAAGTCAATAGTAACCTAATGCTACCTCACAATGCCTACGTCATTGACCTCACTTCATCTCATCATGTAGGCATTTTATTATCTCACATCATCTCAAGACGGGTGAGTGCAGTACAAATAAGATATTTTGAGAGACGGAGATAGAGCTGGCTGGTTAGTTCAGCTGGTTATGTTGGAGTGAGCAGGACTGGAGCCTTGTTGGAACCTAAAACCGCATGGGCTCTAAAAGATTTTAAAAGGACACAGTTTTTTTATTGTCATGCATTTCTCTGAGTTCCCTCTTTTCACTTGGTTATTTGATATTCTGAACTTTGGGTGTGGGCAAGATGACATTATTCACATTAATGTAGTTTTCCAGCCGTCCTTAAGCTGCAGATTTGCCAGGAGGCACGTAATATCCAGACCCTGATAAAACAGCAAAGATGGGAGCAGAAACCAGATGTGAAGCCTTGGCAAGAATTTGCACCTGTCTCCTTGTACGTACTCCTCCTTCCTGCTTTTTATTTCCACATTCCATTTCCTCAGCTACCTCTTAAAAAACCCCTCGGTTGGGGCCGGCCCGGTGGCGCACTGGAGAGTGCGCCGCTTGGGAGCGCGGCGGCGCTTCTGCCGAGGGTTCGGATCCCATGTGGAGACCGGTTCCCACTCACTGGCTGAGCACGGTGCGGGCGCAATACTGAGGGTTGTGATCCCGTTGCCAGTCCCGGTCCGGGCGCGACACCGAGGGTTGCGATCCCGTTACCGGTCAGTAAAAAAGACAAAAAGGAAAAAAAAAATAACCCTCAGTTAATGAGTCTTTGAGATGGTTTTAATCTGGCCATTCTCCTTCAGGTTTACCAGAGAGATGGGTTAGCCTAACATCTCTCCATAAGTCTGGTATTCCTGAATAAAAGCTGACTTCCATTTTTACCAACATTTGACTTTTGAGTGTTTGCTTTTGAAAGGGGGCAGGCAGCTGGGCCTGTGTGCCTGGTAACACATTTTAGCAAGCTGGACAAAGAGCTGAGTGGCCTCAGTAACAGAGTGTGGTGTTCTAACACCAAGGGCAAGGGTTCAGATCTCCAGACTAGACAGCTGCTAAAAAAAAAAAAAAAAAAAATTAGGGATGTATCACAAAGGAGGGAGAGGGACCACATTCATTTAACTTTTTTATTACAGTAGATTGTTATAATTGTTCAGTTTTATTATTGTTGTTGTTAATCTCTTACTGTGCCTAATTTATAAACTAAACTTTATCATAGGTATGTATGTATAAGAAAAAACATAGTATATATATGGGTTCAGTACCATCCTCGGTTTCAGGAATACACTGAGGTTCTTGGAATGTATCTCCAGAGAATAAGGTGGACTACTGTAACAGTACAGATGTTGGAATCAGACTATCTCCACCCTAATCCAGTAGTGAGTCTTATCTTACTTTAATGGAATCTAACCACAACTTTACAAGAAGCTTATGGAATGAGATCATGAGGAAACAATGAGGCAAATCCGTAAGGTGGAACATTCTAAAAGACAACTGACTTGGTCTCCAACAAATCAATGTTGTGAAAAAAGGAACTGTCCTAGATTTTAAAAGATGTAAGGAACAGGCCGGCCCGTGGCTCACTCGGTAGAGTGCGGTGCTGATAACACCAAGGCTACAGGTTCGGATCCTATATAGGGATGGCCAGTTTGCTCACTGGCTGAGTGTGGTGCTGACAACACCAAGCCAAGGGTTGAGATCCCCTTACCGGTCATCTTCAAAAAAAAAAAAAAAAAAAAGATGTAAGGAACACAAAAAACAAACACAATATGTGGTTCTGGATTGGCTCTTGGTTTAAACAAACCAGCAGTAAAGGAAACTTGGGGACAATTGGAAAAAATCTGAGTATGGACCAAATGTTTAATGATGTTAAAGAATTATTAATTTATTATTATTATTATTAGAACAATAAACACCTTTATTATGTGAGCTAAGACAGGAAAAAGGAAGACTTATTTGCTTTTCCCAGCCTTGATTTTCCTTAGGTAGAACTCCAGTTCCTTGCCCTCTAGCACATAGCCATCTGCTTGGTCACACTGGCCAGGTCTTGATGCAATACAGACAAGAAGCTTTCCTTGCTGTAATTGTTCCTCCAGGAGACTGTTAGTTTTGGCCTTCTTTTTCCTTTCATCATACTTCTGAATTTTCTTCGATCTTTTTTTTTTTTTTTAAAAGATGACCGGAGGCCGGCCCGTGGCTCACTCGGGTAGAGTGCGGTGCTGATAACACCAAGGCCACGGGTTCGGATCCCATATAGGGATGGCCGGTTCGCTCACTGGGTGAGCGTGGTGCTGACAACACCAAGTCGAGGGTTAAGATCCCCTTACCGGTCATCTTTAAAAAAAAAAAAAAAATTAAGAGACGCTTGATCTGTCCCTCTCCAAGAAAAGTAAAAAGCATTAGCTGATACCATAGAAAACTACGACGGATTCCTTATCTCCCCGATATAGGAGGCATTTAACAGACGATCAGTTTGCCTTAACTAAATTTGCTGGCAGTCAGGCTTCAACTGTGAGGAATCCGGCTGCTCCACAGCTTGGTAATTTTTTTTTTTTTTTTTGGCGGCTGGCCGGTATGAGGATCCGAATCCGTGACCTTAGTGTTACCAGCACCTACAGCTTGGTAAGTAAATTCCAAAAAGCGCGCGAACCTCCGGGTAAAATTTTCCCGCCTCCCAAGCCGGTTACAACCAGCTCAGCAACAGCCTCTCGGGCACAGGGCTGTGACGTCAGCGTAGGCATTGGGCCCGCCTCTTGGGCCTCTCGGCGTCTGCGCTCCCAGAATAACTGGCGAGGAGCGATTTATCCCCGCCCACTGCCCCGGAAGTCAATGCAGAAGCCACACCCCCTCGTCGGCCGGCAGGGGCGCAGCCATTTTAATTCATATCTGAGTGGGCGGTGGTGCTTCGTCTTGGCTGTCTGGCTCCGCTGGGCAGGGGGTAACTTTACTAGTATAGGGGTGGTTTTTAGTTTAATTTTTCCTTTCTAGCGTCCGTCCCATCGCCGGCCATTGCGCACATTCTAATCAGCTGAGGCCATGTCGGGAGACGCAGCCACGGAGCAGGTGAGGAAGGAGAGTGGTGGGGCCTCGTGGCGACCTCTTCTCTCCGTGTCTCTGTTCGTCCGAGTACTCCAGCCACGTTCGCCTGAGGACAGATTTCGGTGTCTAGTGAACCTGGGGGGACGGAGTACAGAAGAATGGTGGGAATGGGGAACACGATCTGACTGAGATGTAAAATTTTTTTACTTCTCTGTCTTAGGCGTTAATACGAACAAATATTTGAGTGAGACAATAGCCAGGAGGCTGCTTCGTCCCATTTAGATTCACGAGAACACTCCGGATGCCTTTCTTTGATATCATTTTGGTGTTAGAGTGCTTAGGAATTGATTATTTTAAGGTGTACCTCCTGTTTTCGAAAAACTTGACAAGGTTTCTTCCGCACCGTACCCCCCCCCAATATACTGTACCCAGAAATAGAGTTTACTAGTTAGAGAAATAATTTGAGAAAAAACTGATGTGGAGAAATAGTCTTGCGAGAGCGAATGAAGAAGCACTTTAGAAGTAGAGTTTTGTTTTGCTGAGGTTTTGGGAATTTTGTGGTTTTCTCGCTCTTCTTTTTCTCCCTTCTAGCCACATTTCATTTTCGTTTTTCCAGCTACACAAACATTGCAGAATTTCATAAATTGAAAATAAGTCTGTTTTGGCCGCTGTAAATAAAAGTATCGGTTTCAGTACTAGATATGAGTGACGTTTAAATACTTTAAAATTCTGGTTTTTAGATTTGATTTCTTGTGCTCTTTTTCTTTTGTTTGCAATTTTGTAGGATAGCATTTATCTTTTAATGTGAAAGGAAAATACTGTTTAATGAAAGACGTCATGAAATTTGTTTTTCAATCTAAGTCCTGCTATGTTTAGATAAATACAGTTTTTAAGATGGAAGCTAGCTAGCCTTCTAAGTCTCAGTTTCCTGAAATTTCCCATTGCCATAGCAACGAAATACACTTAGGTTTTCATTTTTCAAGTTTCCAGCTTATAACGTGGAAGCTGTTATTGGAAGTGAACAGAGATAAGGCATAATAGGAGCGTTCCTCTTGAATAGTCCGGGTGACTAAATTTCATTATGTCGGGAAACTTTGGCTAGACTGAGTTTTGTGTTTGTGAGAACTGACTTCAGTCCTGAAATCTTCCCAGTGTTTACATTTTTCATACTGTAAGGATGTCCAAGAATGCGAAGTCTTGTTATATCAAAACTGTTTGTTTGATCCCATCGTTTTCCTGGACTGCTGTTTTGTCATCTGAAAGTGAAGGTGGAGTAATGTACTCAGATTTCATTGAAAGTTTCCGAAGTTTATTTTTAATTCTCAAATTTATCTAAAATTATAAAGGCAGAAATGTTGCATGACCTCGAATATTTTAGAACTAGGGTGATTTAATAGGAACAGATGGTGATGAAAATTTACAGAAAAAAATTCGCCTAGAAGTTTTATTTTGCAAAGTTTAGAACACAGAAAAGTTGAAGGAAAAGTGCAGTGAACCCACAGTACAGTTACTAACCTAGAATCAACCATTGGTAAAGGTTTTGCCATATTTGCTTTATCTCTCCATACATATTTATTTATTTTTTATTTTTATTTTTATTTTTTATTTTTTTTTTAAAGATGACCGGTAAGGGGATCTTAACCCTTGACTTGGTGTTGTCAGCACCACGCTCTCTCATTGAGCCAACCGGCCATCCCTATATGGGATCCTAACCTGTGGCCTTGGTGTTATCAGCACCACACTCTCCCGAGTGAGCCACGGGCCGGCCCCATACATACTTATTTAAAACATATTTCGGTTCCAAATATTTCAGCATTCTCATTTGAAAGCATTAATGCTATTACATAACCACCATACCGTTTTCCCACTCAAGAAAATTAATAGTAATAACATATTATTAATATCTATTCCGTATTCAGATTTTCCCAATAGTCCCCAAAATGTGATTTATAGTTACTTTTATGACCATAATCTTATCTACGTTCACATATTGGATCATTTCGTTATATCTCTTAAATAGTTTCCCCATTCCCACCATTCTCCCCGGGGACACTGTCTATTTGAAGAGTCCAGGACAAGTTATCTTGTAGAACTGAAGGCTTTTCTGGGCTTGTTTGTTTTGGGTTTTGTTTGTTTGTTGGGAGTTTTTTGGCAGTGTCATTTAACTTGTCCCTTCATCATCTGTATTTCCTGAAAACATTAGGTCTATACTTAGAGCTTTGATAATATTTGGGGAAATATTTTTGGATAGAATATGACATATCATTACATTGACAGGCACTTCTTCCTGAGTTGTTCCTCTATTACTGATGATTAAGTTCACTTGTTTAGGGTGATGACTTCTGGATCTCTTTATTGCAAGGAGTTGTTTTCCCCTTTGCAGTTAGTAATCTGTGAGTTGATATTGTGTTCCTTCCTTTTTTTTTTTTTTTTTTTTTTTTTTTTTTTTTTTTTTTTTTTT